ATTGGAAAGGAGAATTGAGGAGTCAGCGAGTGATTAGGGGATTGGGGGCCAAATAGTGGCGTTGTTTTTATTTGTAAGTCTTATTTTAGATGATCTTTATGACACCTGAACCAGGGAAGATTCAGGCTTCCGTGAGGAGTTGGTTAAGAAAAGAATACAAAACTATCAATACCCAAATTGCTAAGGCTGTCCCAAAGGAATCGTATCAAGTAAGAGCCTGACGTGAGCAAGCTTTACTTACTTATTCACAGTAAATTTACATTCTGCTGTAACACTGCATTATTTTATAAAAAAATAAGGGAAGAACAAAAGTGTTTTGAGCTTCATTTATGTGTTATATTTTATAACTTTTATGTATGGAGTTCTCCAACTGTCATGTGTAGACAGTTTTTAATCAGATTGACAAAACATTACACAGGCAATAGCTATAAAAAGCATATCACTCCTTTCCTTTCCTCCTTCCCTAGCTATAATGACATCCCACCCTTTATTAATTAGTCACTTCAAGCCAGTGTATGTGCTTAATATGTGCTAATAGTTAGGAAACTTTAGCTTGCAAAGAACACGAAAACCACAATCTCAGTTGACCTTAAACAAAGAATGAAATGTCAGTTATTGATTGATCCACGTGAAAAACAAAAGGAAAAAAAAGAATGAAAATGTATTCTCTCATGTTATGAGAAGTCCCGGGGCTTATATAGGTAATTTTGTAGCTCATTGAATGTTATCAAGGGCCCAGGTTTCTTCATCTTCCTACCTTGCCATCTGAGCATATATTCTTTGGTCTCAGCCTTCATTGCTTCTCATGTCAACACTGTCATGCAGGCATCATAATACGGCCGAGATATTTTTTTTTTTTTTTTTTTTAGACACATCCAGGGCAAGAAAATGTTTGTTCTTCCTGACACTCTCATAGAAGAGTGGAGAAAAATTGCTCCAAAATTACCCAGCAACCTTTCCTTACCACTCATTGCTCATACTTTAGAGCTTTTCATTGCCTTAGAGCTTTCATGGGTAAGAGGAATGTGGGATTACACGCTTGGCTTGGGTTTCCAAAGATTTACACACTAGAGTCTGTGTGAGGGTCGTTTACTAGGTCATGGTTGAGGGTAGAAACCCAAATGAATACAGGATTCTGCCTCAGGAAATAAGGGAGGAAATGGTAATTGGAGAAGCCACCCAGCAGGCACTACTACAAGCCCATAGCTTATGTGGTTATAAGAGCCAACTAACCTTTATTAATTACATGACAGGTAGTTACTGGTATTCTGGCTGTAATTTTCCTAAAGGTATTAGAAATTTTTCTAAGTATCTAGAGCGTAATTTCCCTTTCTCTTGAGAGGTACAGAAAGGGACGGACCAAGTCTGTTCCATGAAATGATGATGGCGGCTTCCAGTGAAGAGTGGGAACCCAAAGGGACAGTCAACCAGGCCTCACGCTCTACATCTGTTGTCACGAGCTGCAGTTCCGGAAATTTCGCAAGAAGCATCCCAGGCCAGTGAAGATCCAGTAGGAAAGTATGTAGCATCTTCTCTATGCTTGCAAAGTCATGGATTTCTTTAGGTGGCTACATTATCAACCTGTCCAAGAATAAAATGAATTGGACATTACAGTCTATATTTCTATATCATATAGATATGATATAGATTTCAGTGAGAAATATCAGTAATAATGGTGACTTTTGAGTTACAGTTACGTTTATTTAATAGGGAAATTCTGCCCTTCATATTTTTGTATTATTTTAAGCAGTCAACTTTAGCAGTAGGGGGTTGTATACCACTTTAGTGACGATAATGTTTTAATAAGTTCATTTTGTTTTTTTTTTTTTTTTTTTTTGAGACAGAGTCTCACTCTGTGCCTGGGCTAGAGTGCTGTGGTGTCACGCTTAGCTCACAGCAACTCAAATCCTGGACTCAAGCAATCCTTCTGCCTCAGCTTCCCAAGTAGCTTGGACTACAAGCATGTACCCAATTACTCTCGCTAATTTTTTCTATATATATTTTTAGCCTGTCCAAGTAATTTTTCTATTTTTAGTAGAGACTGTTCGGGTCTCGCCTTTGCCCAGGTGGTCTCGAATCTGACTTGAGTGACGCCTGCCTCAGCCTCCAGAGTCTAGCATTTACAGGTGTGGCCACCAACCCAGTGCCTGTGAAGCTGTTTTTTAAAAAGATGATGGCCCTGTCCGTAGAGGGGTTATATCGAGAATTTATTAATTTATTAATAAGTTTTTTGTTTTTTTTTTTGAACAGGTCTCACTATTTTGCCCAGGCTAGTGTAGTGAGTGCCCGTGTGTCAGCCTGGCTCACAGCACCATCAACTTCCTGGGGCTCAGCGATCCTACTGCCTCAGACTCCGAGTAGCTGCGCTACAGCATGCGCCACATCCTAGCCGCTAATTTTTTTTTGCATATATAATTTTATAGTTGGTCAATTAATTTCTTTCTATTTTTGGTAGGACGGGTCCTCCCTCAGGCTGGTTTCGAACTCCTGAAACTTGAGCGATCGCACCGCCTCGCCTCCCAAAGTGCTAGGATTACAGGCGTACCAACGCGCCAGGCCTATTATCTCGCTCTTGCTCAGGCTGGTTTTGAACTCCTGACCTCGAGCAATCCGCCCGCCTCGGCCTCCCAGAGAGCTAGGATTACAGGCGTGAGCCACCATGAAATCAGTGTTTTTAATCTCCTTCGTTTTAGGAATTTACAAAGAGGTAAAAGATCCTATAGATCACTTCTGGGCTCACACTTATAATGATGATATGATCTTGCTTCCATCTCAAGGGCAAAACCAAATGTCCAATTTTCAAGTCTCTTTCCAAATTCGGTGTTCAGAGTTCCTTTGGAGGTAAAGAGAATGGCAGGTCAGACTGTTCTTTAGAGACTATCCAAAAGCAAATTTAGAGAAAAAGGAGTACTTGAAGGATTGGTTTCTGAAAGAATCAGTCACCTTTATAACATCAATTTTATAAGCCCTCAGTAACGGCAGCCGTGAAAAGTGGTTATTGACAAATACCCAGGATTTTTAAAAAGCTAAAGTGTCATATACCAGAAAACCAAAGACTACAGCTGCGTTATGAGAATGTATCTTATGCATGTTTGCATCCTTAGATGCCAGGACCATGCCAAGAACACAGAAGACATTGAACAAATCTTTTCATAGTGGTTTCTGAGCTCTTTTTCTTCTGGGGTTAGATCACAAATGGTCAAATATGCGCCTGGTTCTGGGGTTTGGGATCAGAGGCTTCCTGTAGATGCCTGACCCTGGGGGACTTTATTGGGTAATTTAACTTCTATTTCATGTTCTATAAATCATGACCAAGAAAACATATAATATGCATATTATATATAAATATATATTATATATCATGTAATATATACTATATATTAATACATATTACATATATATTAAGTTGTCGGAGGCCAAGTAAAGAAGTACTAAAATATTTGTTTGGGCATCTATTGTGGAAGGATTTGTAAAATCAGAGGAACACTAAAAAAATGGGGACCCAGGAGTTTAAAAGTAAAAACAAGTCGGGCATGGTGGCTCACACCTGTAATTCCAGCATTTTGGAAGGTTGAGGCAGGAGGAATGCTTGAGGCTAGTAGTTTGAGACCAGCCTGAGCAACATAGGGGGACCCATACTCTACAAAAAGTAGAAAAATTAGCCAGGCACAGTGGCACATGCCTATAGTCTCAGCTATTCAGGAGGCTGAGATGGGATCACTTGAGTCCAGGAGTCTGAAGTTACAGTGAGCTATGATGATGCCACAGCACTCTAGCCTGGGCAACAGAGAGAGACTTCGCCTCAAGAGAAAAAAAAAAAAGTAAAAACAATGTCTCTTTAGATATTGTTTCTGGAGTGAAATCAATACATTGCTTACCATGACTATTTTCTTCCAGGTTGTTTAGAATGCTTCCCAGTCTCCGTTTTTTTCTGAGAAATTTAGTCCTTTTTTTTTGTTTTTAGTGCCAGGAATTTAAGCAGGGACCCGAAGTAGAATCAACTGACTTACACAGTAGTAAATACAAAGTGGAACAATGATCTTGGTTTCAGCTGTCCAGTTCAGTGGTCCGCTGGAATGTCATACACTAGCTAAGTCACACGGCAAATGATCGTTTTTCTGGCTGTGGCCACTGGCTGTCCCTTCTAGCACAGAACCATGCTGGGGGATGGAAAGGGTGAGCACCACTTCTTAACACATCCTCCCTCTGGCTGCCAGTCTCTCTGCCCCTATGTTGGATGCAGCAGAGATCACCCACCAGTCAGCCCAAACAGACCAATAGAAGGGGCCAATCACTCTGTTCTCTAACGACAGCCAGACTTACCAACACAGCAGTCCCTGTGGCGCTAGCCTGGACTCCTGTGCAGGAATCCGGCTCTGGCAGTGGCTACTGGAGAGGGTAATAGGACCTCTTGCTGAATGAGGGAAGCTGGATGAATGAATGTGTGAGCTGCAGGGGTCACTTGCAAAAGGACCAGGAGTGATAAGGAAACAACAACTCATTCAGGCAGCTACTTGTGACCTCTAACTCTCAAACCTGCCTGTTGCACGAGGGGATGCATCTCCCATGGGAGTGAACTTAATGGGGTGGGAAGCCATATTCTCACTGTTGAGTCTTTCTAGGAGCCAGGGCTTCAAGGCACAAGGCCCCTGGTTCCTACTCTCACTCCTTGTGCTTCTTCTTCTTTGCTGCCTTGCTGTCTTTTGATGTGTGCCTTGCCCTCTTGCCTGTATCACTCTCAGAGTCTGAGCTGTCAGAGTCAGATGACTTCCTGTCTCTATGTTTCTTTTTCTTCTTTTCCTTCTTTCTTTTTCTAGAAGAATTCTTCATGGGGTCAGGCTTCTCAACTTCTGCTGTCTTTGCTTCTTCCTTCTCCTCTTCCTCATTAGGTATCAGAGAGCATTTGGTCCCACCCGGCTGCATGAAGCAATCTTTTGCCAAGTGGCCTTTACAGCCACACCTCTTGCAGGTGGTGTTCAGGACAGCCTCGAGGGTGATCTTTTGCCCAGTGTAATCCTGGAAGGAACGCCTCCTCCTCTCTTCTTGCTCAATGATAAGGTTGTTGGGATCAAGGTCTTTCCCAGTCCCTTGGTTGACAACTTTCATGGAGAGGGATACTTTTATCCTATCATTTTTCATCTCTCGGCCAATAAGCTTCACCCACACTTTGTCTCTGACATCTACTATTTCAGAGGGCTTCTCCACCTGACAGGATGACATATGAGTTTGATGGACCAGACCTTGCTTCCAACAGCCAGGGATTTTGATAAATGCTCCATAGTCTGTCACCATAGCAACCTCTCCTTGGAAAATAGTGTAGAGAGCAGGCAAGTTTTCCATGGTCTCAGGCCTTCCTGAATTCATCCTTAATGTTCTATGGCTCCTCCATTTCTCTTCTGCTAAAACTAATTCAAGTGTCTCGGCGTCAGTTCCAGGTCTCCCAGCTGCAGCATCGTGCGAAAAGCCAAACCCAGTCCAGAAATTTAGTCCTTTAGAGTGAGAGCTACGACTCTAGCTAGGACCACACACTAACCTAGTGAGAATTCAAAAGCCATCCCTCCTCCCTGAAAAAACCTACAAATATTCCAAATATGATTAGTATTCCCATAGGCATCATAGCAACCTTCTGTATATAAATATATGCCCTTTACTCCATAGGCCAGTCAGACCGAGACACTTAATGGCTGCTTTTCTTCCTACTGCCTTTCTTCTTTTTATTCAGAGGGTCAGTTTGCCTGGCTCCACGCCACCCCTCTCCCGTGTGTGTGAAGGCACATCCTCAGTGAAACTGCCACTATTTTCTCCAGTGAAAATCTATTTTTTATGGTGGAACACTAGCATTTTGGTATTTCAGGAATGACTGAACTGATTCTAAAAAGAATGTTTAAAGGAAAAGTTCTGTGTTTGAGATCAGTGATTTAAAGAAATAGATGGGTTCTCTGTGTGCTGCTTTATACTGTGGCTGAGATGTGGCTCAAACATGAAGAGAATCACTGCCACCTTTCTACATAGGACAGTAATATACAGGATGGGCTTAGACACACATACCCCAAATCCCGTTTTGAGGGGAAACTTGTCATGAAAGATACAACACATTTGGGACACTCAAGAATGCTTCCAATCATAAACTGCCACTCAAGTGGCTTTGTTGTAGCTGTGCTTTCTCGAGGATAACACCCATGCTGCCGTGTGTCTGAGAGGAAAAGCGTGAATCTGGGAAAAAGGGACTAAAAGGAAAACATAAATTGAGATGACAGAATTTACTGCTCTAAGTCCCACTCTTCCTTGGCATAGCTCTTATTTTTCCTGTTGTTCTTAACTGCCCATTATATGCCAGTTTTCACTTCTACTCAAGTTAGTACATGAACACTACTCTTGGTTAGTTTCTTATGAGAAATATTTCGTGACAGAAAACAAATACTCTAAGAGAACCCCCAACTGGATCACATGATAGGCTGGGAGAGAAAAGAGCATGCAACAGAGGAAAAGTCAACCATTCTTCAGCCATAGAAGGAAACTAAGATTCTCACAAATGCTTACCATCTGGTCACCATGGTGAGTGTTCTCTGTGGTAAAAGGAGGGTTGTGCCCCAGCAAGGCTTCATTTAGAGGTGTCATGTGCCCCCAGGCTGATGGCTCTGTGCACCAAACTGGGCAGAGACTGAACTCCACTCTGTTGCCCGATTCACACAAAGGTACATTGACAGAAATGTTTAGGCAGACAGGAGACCACAAAGCACCCATTGTGAAGTTCCTGAGGAATAACCTGGATCTCCTCCCTCACATCGTTAGCTCATTCTGTCCCCTTGGCCATCGGGGGCCCCTTCTTTCTCCCTCTTGGCAGCTGGTTCTTCTCCCAACCCCAGGTTCTCCTACAGCTCACCAGGTGATGGCTGTCTCCAAACTCTTGCTTTGTACTGACACTACTAATTCGGGATCTTACAAACCACCCGCTTTTGGCTATTAGTTCAAATTCTGACCTATTGTCAGAGGCTGTGGGTTATAGGAAAAGAAGAAAAACCAGGAGAGAAAGTGCTTCACCAGCCATTTTACTCTTCTTTAATTCTACTGCCTTTGGGCACACATCTTATCTGCTATGGAAGAAGGTATGACAGCAAGGCTGATAGCACTGATTCGTAACACATTCTTGGCATCATACAAAGAGTAAAATCCTAGAATACCAGGATCATCTGCTACCATGACAGAGCTGCCTTATTTGCTGTAGGAGAGGACTGCTTGCATGGGAATGGAGGGAAGGATGGGACAGAGGAGGCATCTCGGGGCAAGTGAACCCAGATGTATATCTAAAAATTAGGAATTTGGCAGAAAATCCAGAATTAACTTAACGATGACAGGGAATTGCTGAGCAATGTTCCATTATTTTCAGAAATTACTGAATTTGGAACCTGAGGTTAACACTTTTAGGATAAACCAACCTCTAATAAGGTCAGACTGGCCTTGGGTAGAAATGGTGACCAGAGGTGGTAATGAGTTTCAGTGCTTGAGAACACAAATGGTCAAAATCAACTTACACATATGACTTGACTCAAAGTGTGTGTGTGTGGGGAGTCCTACTTAGAAATTATAAATCTGCAGCAAAAAGTCTGGAAGTGAAAGCATGAGCCCTTTTCCACCTCTCCATTTTGCTGCTGGTGCCTGCTCTCCTCATAGTAGCTCCTGCAAAGGTTCAGAATTCAATATAGATTTATTAGGTTGATTTTCAACATGTAGTTTAAGATGAAGAGTTCTGTTTGGTTTAAACCACTTCATTTAACCTTTTGGTAATGGTAGTCCTGAGAGTCTGCAGTGTTGGTAAACTCTCCCTGTGACAAAGGGTCAAACCGTCGAGGGAGCACAGCAACTTCTTGGCCCATCACGTTTCCTTGTCCCTGTCCCTCAAATCGGGTAGTTGTGCACCAAGGGACGCGGTCCACCATGATGAAGAATGTTCAAAACCATTTTCTAAAGATATCTCCTTCCGAAGTCCAATACTGCAGGTGGTCAGGAAAACTTGGAAGGAAGCTGCAAAAGTCCAGCCGGGAATCTTGACTTTGTTAGATATGGACATAGGAAAATCACCTTTGTCCTCCCCAGATTTTATTATAGTCAAAGGAGAAACATCGATGGGATTCTAACTGCAAATGTGCTAGATATAAAATTGATGGAATGCTAATTGGTCCATGAAGGGCTGTACAAGATAATCCGTGGCAAAGTAGAAAACAAGCCCGAAGGTGATAGAGATTGGAAGAGCTGGCAATGCTTTCTTGAAAATGGCGAGGAGTAGTAATGTAAGGCACAAGCCCTGCGGAGAGAATGGGAAAGACACAAACTCATACATAATTCTGAAACCATTTTCAGGCAAAACAACTTAATCACAAGTCTTCATTTTAACCTTTTTAAAAATTATTATTTAAAAAAATCCTCTCAGAGACAGGGTCTCCCTCTGTTGCCCAGGCTGGAGTGCAGTGGTGCCATCATAGCTCATGTAACCTCAAATTCCTCAGGGGATCCTCCCGCCTCAGCCTCCTGAGTAGCTGGGACTACGGGTGTGAACCACCATGCTCAGCTTTGGTTTTAACCTAGTTAATTGAATACTTTCCTTTGGGGTTAAATTTTAGAACAAATATTTCATTAAATCTGGGAGAGCTGCCATGAAAAAAAAGTAGCTTATTGATTAAAAAGGAAACATTTACTTTTCTTTGCTACAGTTTACTAGGCTCACACTGTTGATATTTTATCCCCTAATTCTAGGAAAGGAACAGAATTTGAAAATAACTATTTTTTTTTTTTTGAGACAGAGTCTTGCTCAGTTGCCTGGGCTAGAGTGCCACGGCATCAGCCTAGCTCACAGCAACCTCAAACTTCTGAGCTCAAGGAATCCTCCTGCTTCAGCCTCCCAAGTAGCTGGGACTATAGGAATGCACTGATTTTTCTATTTTTAGTAGAGATGGGGTCTTGCTCTTGCTCAGGATGGTCTGGAATTCCTGAGCTAAAGCAATCCTCCTGCCCCAGCCTCCCGGAGTGCTAGGATTATAGGCACGAGCCATCGCACCTGGCCAAAGTAAAACTATTTTTGAAAAAAATTAAATATCAAAATTTCTATCTAATGTATTGAGTTGGGCTGGGCATGATGGCTTATGTCTGTAATCCCAGCACTCTGAGAGGCCAAGGCAGGAGGATCACTTGAGGCCAGGCATTCAAGACCAGCATGAGCAACATAGCAAGACCTCTTCTCTACAAAAAACAGAAAAAACAGCTGGGCATGGTGGTGCACACCTCTAGTTCCAGCTACTCAGGAGCCTGAGGCAGGAGGATCGCTTGAGCCCAGGAATTTGAGGTTGCAGTGAACTATGATGATGCCACTACACTCTAGCCCAGGTAACAAACTGAGACCCATGTCTCAAAAAAATAAAATGAAATAAAACAAAACAAAATAAAATAAAATAAAATACTGAGTGGGCCTCTATGATTTTAGTCTGGCTAGTTAAAATCCTAGAGGTGAAGAGCATTCTTTATGCTATAATAAGAACAAAAAGATGCTCATAGAATAAACTGCTAACAAAAGTTTCTTTACGAAGAGTAGAGGCCACATAATATAGTTCGTTTTTTACCCTATTCAATGAGACACTAACTATAAAGTCTGGAGGCTGAGGACAATTTTGGTTCATTCAGAATAAGTAATTTTCTTAAAAGACAGAACACATCCAATAAATACTCTCAAATCCAGGAAACAAACTTCAAAAGAGAAATGAAAATTCAAACTTATGATGATAAATCACAAATGTAATTGCAAAATAAATCCATAAGTCTCTTACCTAATCTTTCATCTAACTTCACTCACATACTACAAATATATGTCGAGGACATCACATCTTTAGGAATAACAGCAGTAAGAAATCTTTTACAAAGTTTTTACTTAAATCATAGCTTTGAAAGCTTCAGGGTTCGAGCTGTAGCACTGTCAGCCAGCTCTCCGTGGGATCATGCATGGTGTTAGTTTCTCTCACTGGATACGTGCTGCACAAAGGAACACTGTATGCTGCACTTTGTATCACTAAATGCAAAATGACCAAACCCTCAGTGACTAAGTCCAGGGACTAAGTGAAGATCTGTTCATCTCTTTAAGATTGACCTCTAGCAGAGCTAATTTCATACACATCTATGCTGTTGAGCTTGAAGCAGTGGTTGCCAATCAGAAGTACTTATCGGAATTTACTGGGAAACTTTGAAAAACCACACAATTAAAACAAATTAAATAAGAATATCTCGGGCCGGGTGTGGTGGCTCACGCCTGTAATCCTAGCACTCTGGGAGGCCGAGGCGGGCGGATTGCTCGAGGTCAGGAGTTCAAAGAGAGATAAGTGAGTTCACACAAAAAAAATGGCTTGGAGTTATAAAGTGTGAAGCATCTTTATCAAATTTCAGTTATTCAATTTGACTACAACATGGAGAATGAAGTGGGGAGAAAATACTAGGAGTTGGGTTTTGGAAGGCAGATTGGGCTAGATCAAGGATCCCTAAGGAGTGATTGGTTTAGGTATCTGTGTGCTGTTCAGTGTCCTGGGGAATTAGAAGGTTCCTTGAGGAAAGAATCACGTGATCAGAGCTATGCCTTTGCAAGCTGGCAACGGTGTGTAAAGATGAATTGGAGAGATGGATGCCGAGATCACTGGGAAGCATACTAAGATATAGTTGCCATGAAAATGGAGTCTGAGTTTGCATTGTCAGTAGCAAAATCAAGAGAAGGGCTAATGAGAGATTCAGAATGAAATCAGTAGTTTCTTTAGCAACTGAAATAAAGTTTTATAAGCCTGAAGGAAAAATGATGAAGATAAAAAAATGTTTTCTTCTTTTGAGGATCTGTTTAGTTAATATATTTTGTGGTCCATATCTAATTTAGTTTATGGTACCTGTGGGCCATTCAGGTAGAAATTTCACAGCAGGAAGTTTAGAAATGAAAGTACTAGTGCTTGGGAAAAAGGCTGAATACTAGAGATGCATAGTTGAGGAGCATGCAGCATAGAAGTGATAGTTAAAGCTCTGAGAGTGTGTGAGTGATTCAATAAAAGTAGAAGAGAAGGCAGACATGGATGTTTTACACCTGGAATCCCAACACTTTGGGAGGCTGAGGCAGGAGGATCGCTTGACCCAGAGTTGGAGGCTCAGTAAGCTATGAATCACGCCACTGACACTCCAGCCTGAGGTGAAGACCCTGTTTTTTTAAAAAGAAAGAAAGTTCGAAGAAAATGGGGGACTAAGTAAACCACACAGGATGTGCCTAAGAATCATTAGTGAACATTGAAGAGAGCAGCTTCTATAAAACAAGTATTCCACAGGGAAAGAAAATGTGTGTGTGTATCTGTGTTTTTGCTGATGCTGGCAGTGGAAGTGATCATGTAGGCAAGAATAGGGGTGAAAGAGAGGATAGTAAATGCCACCCACTATGTCAAAGATTGGCTGTCCGCAAGCTGGGCCTAGTGGCTCACACCAGTAATCCAGCTTTTGGGGAGTCTGAGGCAAAAGGATTGCTTAAGGCCAAGGAGTTTTGAGAGCAACCTGAGCAAGGATAGCGAGACCCTGTCTCTACAAAAAAAATAAAAATTAGAAAAATTAGCCAAGCGTGGTAGCATGGCCTGTAATCCCAGCTATTTCAGAGGCTGAGGCAGGAGGACCACTTGAGCCCAGGAGTTTAAGGCTGCATTGAGCTATGATCACACTACTGCACTCTAGCCCTGGCAACAGAGCAAAGATCTTGTCTCAACAAATATCTTACAGGCAGAACAAGAATTATCTACAAAGCAGGTAGAAACTGCTTTAAAAAGTTCAGGAAGCAGAGTGTAGGCCTAGAATAGGAAATACCTGAAAGGAAGGAATAAGAAAGAACAGAAAAGCACAAAAGGGCGAAATATAGTGAAATATTGAAGAAGGTAAATTTGGGCTCCAAATTTGCCTCCCATGTTAGTTGACCTCAGTCTTTCTGGTAAACCAGATGTTAGTCATTTGTAGAAAGTGGAAGAGATAGGGAGTTATGCCCATAGTTGGAGAAGATTGGTAAAGTTTTAGAACAGCTGTTGGAATGCAAGGATCTTTTACTCCTATTTCCAGACTAAATCTATTATCAAGTGCTTACTGTGTGTTTATTGGCAGAAAGGACAGATGAATTTGAGCTCAACATTCTTCTTTTGGTGAACTTTTGAGTGTGAGCTTCTCCCATGTTGTATCTGGAAATTAAAATCTACTTATGTAATTTATATTTGTGCCCACAAAATGTTACATGAAATAAATGTTAATAGTGAATGCTAGAAATTTAGACTAAGGAATATACTTGCAAAAGTATGGAAGTAAGTTCACTGAAACAATGCTTGTACTTGGGAAAACTTGAAGTAACCAGGTGTCCATCAGAAGGGGGCACTTTCAAATAATTATGGCACATTCATACAATGGATCATTGTGCAGCCATCAAAAAAGAATGGGTACTCTGTATATGTCCAACTATTTTTTTTCTTTTTCCCTTAAGTTTGCGAGATCTGAATGTCCAACTATTTTTTAATGTCCAAATTTATATATATAAATATAAAAGCAAGATTTAGGCCGGGCACAGTGGCTCACGCCTGTAATCCTAGCTCTCTGGGAGGTGGAGGCGGGAGTATTGCTCAAAGTCAGGAGTTTGAACCAGCATGAGCAAGAGCGAGACCCATCTCTACAAAAAATAGAAAGAAATTAATTGGCCAACTAAAAATATATAGAAAAAATTAGCTGGGCATGGTGGCACATGCCTGTAGTCCCAGCTACTCTGGAGGCTGAGGCAGGAGGATCGCTGAAGCCCAGGAATTTGAGGTTGCTGTGAGCTAGGCTGATGCCACGCACTCTAGCCCGGGCACAGAGTGAGACTCTGTCTCAAAAAAAAAAAAAAAAAAAAAAGCAGGAGTTAAAGCAGTACATGCAATATCCTTTGGAAGACAATGGGGAAGAGGGCTGTTATGTGTAGACGTGTTTGTTATACAAAATTCGATGTTTATATCCACTTTAGTGAAAAAGTATGGATTAGTGTTTAACAGAATGTAAGAAAACAGTAACACTAATCAGTACTTTTCCCTGAAGTGGATGTAAACATGAATATGAAAGTCAGTCTTATTTATTCTTTAAAAATACAATCCTTTTGGCCGGCGCTGTGGCTCCGCTGTAATCCTAGCTCTGGGAGGCCGAGGCGGGCGGATTGCTCAAGGTCAGGAGTTCAAAACCAGCCTGAGCAAGAGCGAGACCCCGTCTCTACTATAAAATAGAAAGAAATTAATTGGCCAA